AGATCTGGAAGCGTATACAAACTCTTCCCAGTAGTTATTCAGAGGTAAAGAAGTAAGATTCTCCATCTGTAGAAGAATTTTTAACACTGAATACAATGCTTTTGTAACAGCGATGCAGTTTCCTTTTCTAAGTACAGATTGCTATTTTTCCCCCACGGGGCTTCTGAAGTCAAGCAGGACTCAAGTGTTTTGTCCAGACCTAGGAAAATGCAGTTGTACAAATAAGCTGTAGTTGAACTTATGAGTCAAAACTAGTACACTAGAGGAAAAGCAGTATTTTAAATGGGGGAAAAATGAACTTTTTACAAGTCAGGTGTCAGCAAAAGTGTTCTAGAGCCACAGAAGACAGAGGGCTGGACTCCAAAGGTGGTGTGATTTCAGCAGAGCTTGGACTAGAGAGGCCTCAGGGCAAAATGGAATGCCACCCACCAGGAAGGCACAGGATCACGGAGGTGAGGGGCTGTGCCAGGGGCAAGGGGCACAGAAATGGAAAACAGGGCCGTGAGAGAGGCTGAATTGGAGCTGGTGACGGATGCAGGATGGGCAGGGTTTCCGTTGCATTTAGGAGCCAGTCATGAACCCCATCGAGGGACACTGGGCAAGTTACTTGGCCCTTATACTGCAGCCCCCACCTGTATAAAGTGGGGATAACAGATTGTTGGGAGGTGAAAAGAGGTGATCCAGGAAGAGTACTCAAAGCAGTGATGGCATCTGTGGGCTCCTGGCAGCTGTTAGCTGGCAGCACTGTCATTCCGGCCACTCTGGCTGCCTGCTGATGAATAGTGCAGAGGGGCGTCATTCCAGGAGCCAGGTTTAGCCAGACTGGTTGAGACAGGTGGCATTGGGTTCTGGAGGCCCGGTATCCCTCCCAGACTCACCCCAGGTCTTTGGTGACTTGCACAAAGTCATGCACATGTCCCTCCTGAGCCCCTTACCAGCATCCCCAGTTGGGACATCCCTGCACCAGGCTCAGCACCACCTCATCCTGCACTGCTTGGTCTTGTTGCCTGCCGGCCACTGCATGGTTCCTGAGACTGTCTCCTCAGTTGTTTCTTTGAGAGCTCAGGGCCACAGCACTATCCCCCATACCTCCTGGCATTCCCAGGGCCACCTCTGGGTCCCCCTTTGGGTTAGGAATTCTGCA